CTTTGAAAGCTGAAAAACGTCTTTTCTGTCGGTCACTATCCGAGTACTCTGAAGTATGTTGATTTCCATTTCGTGTTCTTAGGGACTGTGAGACGCTAAGAATAGTGTACCAGATGCAGAATTTAATTCTCTATCCAATCGAGTCATTTCCGATCTCTGTTCTTGGTCAAGAAATGTATTTAAAAGCTGAAAAACGTCTTTTCTGTCGATCACTATCCGAGTACTTTGAAGTAATTTGATTTCCATTTGGTGTTCTTAGGGACTGTGAGACGCTAAGAATAGTGTACCAGATGCAGAATTTAATTCTCTATCCAATCGAGTCATTTCCGACCTCTGTTCTTGGTCAAGAAATGTGTTTAAAAGCTGAACAGAGATTTCCATTTGGTATTCTTAGGGACTGTGAGACGCTAAGAATAGTGTACCAGATGCAGAATTTAATTCTCTATCCAGTCGAGTCATTTTCGATCTCTGTTCTGGGTCAAGAAATGTGTTTAAAAGCTGAAAATCAGCCTCAGAAATCAAGCGAATTTAAAAGTATGCGCCTTAGAATATATCGATGCTGTGAGCCAAAAATATCTCAGATTCTCCTGAGCTGAGTTACAGGTTTTCCAAAAACCTTGGTTTTTGAGGAAAATTCGAGTTTTCTCTACTTACTAATATCAAAACTAAAAACCAATAACTTTTTTGGAATCAGAGCAGGACACTGCGTCAAATTGTATATAACATATCCATTCTAAGGCGCATACTTTTAAATTCGATTGATTTCTGAGGCTGACGTTGATGAGAAATAATCAAATGCTAAATAAATACGGGCTCTATAATTTTCGAATTCAGTTCTTGATAAACTTTGTCCACAATAAACAGTTAGTACATTATTATTTTATCAACAAGAGCTATTGGCAGTACCTAACGAAAGGCGGAGTTGGAGTGTACAGTTTTACAGTATGATGAGGATTGAAATGTGAGCTTGCCTTTTGAGTTTGCTGATAGCGGTTAGTAACTACGTTAGTGTGTTAGTATCTTTTTATTTAGTGATGAAAATGCTATAGAATTACACAAATACTATTTAAACATGAAAAAATCTTGAATTCTTTGAATACCAGCAGTTGTTAGTTGTTTTTGCTAAGACGAAATGAAACCAAAAAAGGTATTTATTGTATTTATAAATTTTTGTTTGTTTTTAGCGCTGTTTTAATCGAAGATGTTAATGAGTTAGAGCTTATTAACTGGGAGGATTCTAAAACGAGAAGACCTCATAAAGAATGGAAAAGTAGGTTTTCTTAGTTCGTTTCCGTTTGTTATATATTTGGCTTCTGCTGACATTACATTACGTTTGAATCCGAATAGAAACTTAACATTTTTCACGTATTTTGCATTTGACAAACACCATCGGATCTGTGGCTATGATGCCCAAATTAGAAATCCTGGTATAACACTAGACTTTCCACCCGAGACAAATCCAGCTACGATCCAATATTTGTGTCAAGGAATTCAGCAGACATGCACGGGCAACAATGAACAGTATGAAAGTTTTGAGGATTGTGTTGATTTTATGACACACAAAATACCGTATGGCTCATCCGATCGGCTTGATCAAGACAGTGTTAGTTGTCGAATACTGCACATACAACTTGCGGCTCTAGCTCCAGTTGTGCACTGTCCGCATTGTGGTCCGACGGGGGGAGGAGCATGTACAAACAAAACATCACAATCATATTACGAAGTTGATTATCTGTCATGCGCTTATAAACGGAAAACACATTGTTCATAACCGAAAGATAGTAACATCAATGTAACAAGGATTAGCCAGGTTCTGGTGTTTGTTTCATTAATGAATAAAGGGCTGTGGGAATATTTAGCAAAAAATAAAAAAGTGCGTTGAAGCAAAACCCGCGTCTTTCAAAAAGTTTACATCTATGCAAGATCTGCCAAGTTTTGTGCTCTTAAAGAGTCATAAATAACCCTGGACACCATCTTGATCAAGGTTTGCGTGAAAAATCTGTTGAAAAAAACTTTTGTCCAGATCTTGAAAAGATCTAGAAAGTTCTTTCTACCACCGTTTTGTTTTGGATTCTTCATGCATATAAGATGCACATATGGCACAACTCAAGTGAAATTTTGTTTCGAACTTTTTACATACCATTCGATAGAGAATTAAACGCTGATCACGGCAAACACTTTCCCGGCTCCCAAAACCCTTTCCTCGCTGAGCCAGTCAGTGTCCAAAACCGCAAAAAAAGAGGGTTTTTGAAAAATGGCTCTAGTTTTTTCGCGTTCCATTTTTGTGATTCAAGAGTGGGCTCATTGGATTCAGAATCGAAAGCTGATTCTAGTAAAGTAAGTGTCGAACCTCTAAAACCAAAATTGGATTTTTTCGGAGCCCCGAAACCCGAACCTCGAAAAAATGCCGACCGTTTTTGCAAATTCAAACATCAATTTTTGGTGAAGACATTTCAATCACAAAATAAAAAGTTTTCCAAAAAATGAAAAAGTTGACAAAAAGATTTTCTCAGTTTTTATCTTTTATTCAAGAACGTTTCAGAAACATGTTATTGTCGATTAATGTTTAGTAGAGTGTTGCCTTTCCAAGCAAGATAGAACGGGCTTTTCTTATGATGTACGAATTTTCTGAAAAGTGCTTACGAGTAAATGGGACATCCATGACCGATTGGTCGCGAACGATATGAGAATGTAATATATCTAAAACCACCAATAAAAGATTCTCAAAAAACAAAAAAAGGAATTCTATCATTTACTGAGTTGATTATATCATAGACTCCAATGTAAGTGCCATACAACGAATATGTATAATGCAGAAGACAAAAGGAGCGTGACAGGGGTAATATTTCACCTGAAAAACCTGAAATATTTGGAAAAAACTGAAAACCACTTACTTTTGGGCAAAAAACCTGAAATTTCTAAAAAGTTTTATACTAAAGACGATTTTGTTCTATTTTTACATAAACTATGTAAAAACAATTCTGTTATAAATGGCTGATTACACATATCAATACAAATGATATCCTAATATACCTGCCGATCCTACTCTAAATATATGACTACGAATTCTCCAAAGAATTCAAAATTAAAACGATTTTTCATGATCTCATTAGATAAAGCGTTCAGAGCTACCCATAAAACCAAGTTTTTAACCTTGGAGCCTAAAAATGAGTGAGTTACCGATTTTATACAAAAAAGCCCCAGAAAAAAAGTCGAAACAGTAGACTTTTATCATATTTTAATTTTTTCTTGTTCTGCTCCCTGTTTTAAAAATCCGAGTTACACATGAATCGAACGAGCAGAGAAGTCTGAACAAGTGTGGCTAATTTCAAGAGGCTTTAGTCATAAGTTAATGGTCAAAAAATTCAACTTATTGAAATTTGTTAGGTTAAGTCACTTGGTTTTTTCCAGTAAAATAGCTACCACGCAGCCAAACCCTGTGATAAGAGAACAGTTTTAACGCAGTTTATAGAGCGATCAATTGTCTATAAAATCAGTTACAATATTAATACCACCAGAATTAGCATCATTCATCAACCTTTTTAAAGCTTTAATTTTGATTCAGACAATTTCATTCTCAAAAAAACTGATGTTGGAGTTTTGTACATAGTATTAACCTGTTGAAAGCAGTGTGCTTTTGGCCTTTTGTAGTATAGTGTATTGAAGAATATCTTTATTGAACGATAATAAGCTAGAAAAGGAAATCACAGTTGTAGAATGCTATGACGCTCTCAAGGAAATGATGACAGGACGATCTCCAGGTGATGACGGGATTACAGTGGACGTATGGAGAGCAATATTCCCCATCATTGGTGAATATTATGTGAAAATGATTAATGTTGCATGGGCAAACCAACGATTCCACTCATCCTTTTTACGTGCCATTTTAACTTTGTTAAAAAAGGAAGGATCTGTTGAAGGATCGATGAAAGGTTTCCGGCCACTTTCTTTGATGAATATCGACTACAAGATACTCTCGAAAGTGGTCAGCAACAGACTACGAGCGGTAGTAAGCACATTAGTTCACCCTGACCAAACTTGCTCGATCCCGGGTAGAACAATCCAAGATAATGTGCGCTTAATCAGGTCGATTATTGAGCATTACTCAAGAAACCGCGAGCCACTAGGTATCATTTTATGGGATCAAGAAAAGGCTTTTGACCGAGTCAACCACCGTTACCTCTTCCAGGTGTTACGGAGTTTTGGATTTGGACAGAAGTTCATTCGTTGGATAAGGCTAATGTACACCGGTGCTACTTTTCGAATCAAAATAAATGATTCGATAACACAACCAATGAATTTCGAGTCTGGAGTGCGACAAGGTTGCTCGGCATCTGGTATTATATATGTAGTGTGCCTCGAACCTCTACTGCATAATAT